TATACCTATACCGTATTAAGAGCATATTGCCGTGTCGCATATAAGGCTACATTATTCGCAATTTTTACAATAGTCAAGAAATATTAAAAACTATTTAATTGTATTCATATTTTATTGTTAATTTCTAAAGCTGTTTAATAGTGATTTTACAGTGATAATGACTTAGTAATTAAAATAGCGATTTTTTAATAGTGAAATGTTGGTTCTGTCCAAAATATTCGATATCAGTCAAAAAATGGATTTAAGAAATTGTAGTGGTTCTGTTACTTTAGTAATTTTTTTAGTGGTTAAGCCCCTGCACTAGTAATATTTGTAATAATTGTACTTTCATAGTATAGGAACTATGACACTCCATGTTAACAACAGAAATTTATTGAAAATTTGATTAATTATTAAAACTCCTATTTTATAACTAATTTTCTATGTTTAAAGAAGAAATTCTATTTTATTCTTTAAAATTAAAAGCCTATGAATTTTTTAATATTTTTATAATAATCAAAGAATGAAGAAAATGCTAAAGAATTAGAATCAACAAATAACTTTAGAGATCAATAATTTTAAATACGAGAAAAATGCTACGAAAGTCGAGATGCCTAACATATCAAAGTATAAGATCATAAATTTTATTAATTATTTTAATTGCATATATTCAGGCTTAGCGAATTTTTTATTTGCTTTTTTTACAAAAAACCTTTTTAATACATTTTACAATGCATTAGATGAAGTCTAATAATTATCCAGCAATTTCCTTGTTTTTATTCTCTATTAAAAAAACATGAATGGAACAAATATAGTGGTGTACGTGCTGGACATTTGATATCACATAAGAAGATGTGAGAAATCGTAAAAATTAGTCGTGATTATAAAAAAATGTTAATTGATATTTATGAATTCATATAGAAAATAAGTTTCATCTCACTTAACGAATGTAAGTGAATATTACCCTTAGAAGATAATTAAAAAAAAACATGATAGTTACAGCCATCATTAATTTTTTTTTATTTTAATGAAAAAGGAATTTTTTTTCTAATTTCAGGAGTAAAATAGTATTTTGGAATTGCAAATTCTTTTCTGAATTTTTGGAACGGGTATAATGTTGCAAAAAGCAAGGTATGCTGTTTGTACACTACAATCAATGTGTTGAAAGTTTAATATTATTTAAAAATTATTTTGTATAAGAGATAAAGAGTGCTAAAATCTGCATTTATAGGAGAATTCAAATGAAATTTTTTATTTCGAAGTTAAGAGTAAATTTCACAGTCAATCCTTTTTATTGATCAAATTTGTGATAACAATTACCCAAACTAATAAGAATTCATAAAATATAAGGTACCCATTGGATTGCTTTATTCATTTATAAACAAATTCAAGACTCTGGGTCAAAGCTCTGTTAACAATGAGGTATCCTATAGAACCCTACAAAAGTGAACCTTTATGTACAATTATGAAAAATTTTTTTTTTGTTATTTGCATTTTATTCTTATTAATTTTTCATTTTCGTTTTCTGGTTAAACAAAACTTTATTATTATCCTTTGAATATCACGCTGTCAATAAATTTGAAAATATTATATAAAAGAGAGAAAAAGAAGAAAAAGAGCAAAAAACAAGAGAAAATGAAAAAATTTCTTTAGCAACTTCCTGATGTTTCATTAAATTTTCTCATATTACAAATGCATTTGTGTATGTACACACATCCATACACATGTTATGTTTCATGTTTTATTGAAGTTGTATACATGTTGTATCTCTTTTATGGAAAATGATGAGAGCATAATTCTTAATGACTTCTTAAAAGTTTTGTTTTTGTCCTGGTTTTTTTTTCATTTATATTTTAATACTTTTAGTACTATACAAAGAGTAAAATAAATTTAGAGAAAAATTACTCAGAAAGAAAAATATATTATAATTTTTATATTAGGTTTTTTATGAGATTTTGTATGTTATTTGATTGTTAAGTAGGGGCTAAAAGTTTATGTTTGTATACACATAAATATTTTGAAATTTTAATAAATTTATTAGTTTTGGTATAGTATGTATCTTTATTGAAGATTAAGCGTGTAACTACAGCCATACATACGAGTTCATTAATGATTTTTCGACTCACATCTGCGTTATATAAGAGCTGCCGCAAAAAAGGAGAAGAAAGCCACGGCAACTCATTCAAATTATGAAATAGAGTTTATATATTATTGGAATGAGAGTGGAAATTATTGATTCAACATTGATTCAAGTCTATGCTTTCCCTAAGAAAACTTACTTTTAAATGAAATTTTAAAATTTTTATTACAGAATGCTTTAAAGAGTTATAAAATCAAATATCTAAGTTCAAATCTGTTAAATGTTGTAATACTTCCTTAAATATTAAAATTGGTTTTAAAAGTTTAAACCAACAAAGTTTTTGTCATTAATATTCAATAATCACAATCTGATTTTAGAGATTAGAAAATTTTTCCTTGGAATCACCCTGTTAAAATTTTAAAAGCATTTCATTCGTGTTTTGTATTGCAACATACATGTTGGATTGTGTTTGATTGTATATTACAGCAATAAGTTTTTGTATTAAATAACTTTTATTTATACCAAGCGATTATTTTTTATTATAAGTTTTTTTTAGAAAACTAAAATTAACTAGTAAAAAATTTAAAGCTAGTAAAAAATTCTAATTCAATACAATTTTGGTATGAAAAACAATTAATTTGATTGAAAATACAACTGTTTGATTTTATGTAGTTATTCTCAATTAATTTTTAGACGTATGTTTTGACTAATTAGAGTTCCGAACCATACTAAGAACATCATTTTCATAAAATGCAAGCAGCACTTTCATTGCCCACTAAATTTGTAATTCATTTTTAAAGTCCTATAGTATGTTTGAGAAGCATGTTTGATTCTCGCAAGTATTGTGCTCATTAAAATTTTATTCCTTTTGTTTTCATTCCACATGAATACTCTTTTTAAGACTTGTGTTTTTTTTCTTTACTTGTTTTTAAGACTTTTGTATGCAGAAGGATTTATTACATAAGTAAACAACAAAAACAAAATGAAAAAAATGTTTTTTTTTAATGTTTTTTTAAATTTTCCTACGCAAACAGAAAATTTGTATCCTGCTCATTTTTTGCCATTAAAACTTTTTTTTTTTCGTAAAAACCTCCATAATGTTGTTAAAGTTAATGTTACTTTTTTTTTGTTTTGCCTGCTTGGCAGAATGCAAATTGAAATTTTCATTGAAAATTTTTTCATTCCTAGAGTTTCATTTTTATTTTATTTATTTTTTTTTATGTGTATGTACATTTCAGGTCTAATTGAAGAATCATAACAATAGTAAAATAAAATATAATGGTGTCGTCATGTAGCTGTGCATGTAGTAAAACATTTTAAATTTCAATTTATTATTAATATGAAATTTATACACAAATCTTGATTTATAACTGGACGTGGATTAAAATTAAGTAAAATAAAGATTTAAATTTATTAATCATAAGTAATTTAAATATTATAGGAAATAATTGAATTTTTAACGAGCAATATTTATTTTTAATAAATATAATATGGATTTTCGTAAAGGGTCGATTGCAGTTCAAGAATCAAACAGTTTGTAATTTTTTACAAACTAATTGCAGTTTAGTAATTTCAAATAGTTTATTTGCTTTAGTGGGTTTTGCTTTAGTAATTGTTTTGTTATCAAACACAATTGGAACCTAAATTTTAAATTCCCAGCTAAAATTATAATTCTCTTAATAATTACAGATAATTTTTAAACATTAATTTCAAGTGAGAATTAATATTTTAAGAATATAGTAATATCGATGCGCTTTTGCAACATGTTTGAAAGTGTTGAATTTTAAGTAAAATATTAAATTGTTTGATAACAGGCATGTAGAATACATGTGTAAGACAATATTAATTGTTTGATAAACCAAATAGATATAGATTAGATAATATTTTTTTAGACTCATACAATATTTGCAAAATATTTTTAGCAAAACGAACTCATACATATTTGTTTCATACATATATGTTCAAACACATTCATACATAATTTTAAAAAGGCATTTCACATTTGAACAATATTCATAATTTAAGATTTTAGTACAATAAAAATCTTCTCAAACTACTAAAAAAAAATTCTTCATACAAAGATTTTTATTTTCGTTTCTTACTCTGGGGCCACTAAGAATTGATATTATATTTATTTAGCTAATTGTGTGTGCATAAATTCAATTGAACCTTCTGGCAAATACATTTATGAACAATTTAACATTGTTTTATGTGAGGTAATGATTGTTGTGTTATTAGAATTATTATAAGTTTATTCTAGGTAGAGTGTAAATTTGTTAACATTAAATTTACATGATTTTCTGTAAATGAAATTATTTCTACTATTAATTTACAAATATTAAAATAAATTATGGTATATAGTCTTTAACTCAGAATAATGCAACAATAAAAATTTCTATAATGTTATACATGCAAAACACCTTAAATGGGAAAATTTGGGTTTTTAGTATGAGAACTCGAAAAAAAAACAAGTATGAAATTGTAAATTAAATGAAAACAGAAATAAAATATTGGTTAAAGCTTATCGAAACCACAACCTAATCTAAGAATATAAAATTAAATTATCCTTATAAAATAAATTGTTATTTAAAAAATAAAATACGAATACATAAAATAAGGTAGTCAAAGCTATTTAAATGCCTTTTTGATTTGGATTTCAGCAGGTTGCAAGTGCGTACATTTATACAAAAATGCATGTTAAAGCGGTTGCTGATATTTAAGCTGCTGTAACACCAAATTATTTATTTATTTTTTTTTTTTGTGCAACTTCAGATTAGACTTCTTTATCTGTTTTTCTGATGAATGGATCCTTCTTTTTTTGCAAAAGCATATTGTAATATTGAAAATTGGAAAGAAAAAAATTAAATTTGAAAAAAAAAACGAAAAGTTCAAATAATAAAATTCGGCAATAAGGAAAATAATTTTTTTGTTGGAAACTTACCAGCAGGTTTCGGTGGAACTGGTTTTAATTCAACATCAGCAAATTCTGGTTTTGTTTCCTCTTTAATTTCATCGACTTTTGGTGTTTTCTTTAGAACAGGACGTATTTTTTCAAATTCATCAATACTTTTATTAAATGATTTCTGTTTATTAATAACAACATGCCGTAATTTTGGTTTTTCAAATTTAATTCGACTATGTGGTCGATCTTCATCATCATCATCTTCATTATTATCATTTTTATTTTCCAATGATTTTTTAATTATTGATGGTGATCGTTGCTGTTTAATTGGTGGTGGTGGTGCAGCTTCTTCTTCAGATTCTTCTTCAGTTTCTTCTTCTTCTTCCTCTTCTTCTTCTTCTTCTTCTTCACTTTCTTCTTCTTCTTCGGTTTCTTCTTCTTCTTCTTCATCTTCATCCTCTTCTTCGTCACTACTTGATGGTGGTGTTGGTGTTTTAGCTTTTGATTTTAATTTTGTAACTCCAGGTTTCGTAACAACAGTTGTTTTAGTTGATGATGGTTGTGTTGTTTTTGCTGGAGTTGAGGCATTTGATTTTGTTGTAGCCGTTTTAGATGGTGTTGCGGATACAGTTTTTGCTGCTGGTTTAGTTTTTTCAACTTCTTCGGGTTTTTTCGAAAAAGATTCAGTTTTTTTAACTGACATAACAGGACGTAATTTTGGTTTTTCCACTTTGAATTTCTTTTCCAATTCAGTTTCTTCTTCTTTTTTCGGTGTAATTGATACACGTCGTTCTGTTGCACCGACCGGTTTCAAAACTGGTTTTAAAATTGATTTTTCCGGTATGGTTTTTTCGGGAACTACTGGTGTTGTTGTTTTTTTCGTAACTGGTGTTAATTTAACATTTTTAATAGCTTCTTTAGCACCATTTTCTTTAGATGTATCTGGTTTTTTCGTAACTAAAGCACTTTTTAATTTAACTTCTGCCCCTGGAGCTGAATTTGTTGTTGTATCGGTTGCTTTTTTAGCCCATGCCGGTGCTGTTTTAGCATTCGCTGCGGATGCATCTGTTGATGCTTTTCTAGCTAATTGTGATGGTGATGCTGCCGTACCGGGTTCTTTAACCCACGGCGGACGAAATGTATTTCGATTAGCACCCGGTTTATCACCAGTTACAGGCATGATTATATTATTATTATTTTGTTTCTTTTAAATTTTTATTTTGTTCGATTTATTTTATTTATTTAGTTTTTATTTTGTATTGTTTATTGTTGTGAATTTTTTTTTTGCTGTTTATTAATATTTTACTGTTATATAAATTTTGCCAAACAATAAAATGATGATGTCGTCAAGAAAGAAATTAATTTCTAAGAAGAGAAAAAGAGAAGGAAGACCAATAAATAAAAATAAATAAAACGAATACCCATTCAATAGAGCATATGAGATGAAAATTCAATAGTGGAAGAAGGAAAAACATATTTCCGGTTTTCTATTGAAAAATATCAAAAGGAAATGAGTTTTTCTGTTGTTTAATAGTGAAAAAAAAAATAAATTTTCAATTTTCTCATTTTTATATTGGGTGGCCATTTTTTTTTTTTCGAAAATTCTATAAATAGATTCACAATATTTTTTCTTATATTGCGGAAAATATAAATTTTTTTTTTCAACAATTTTTTTTTTTTGTTATTGAAGCATTTGCACGATATTTTTTTTTTGTTGTTGGTTCAAATTCTATTGTTATTTACAGAACAGCTGTTCCATTTTCCAATTTCTTTTTAATTATAAAGCTGCAACACATTTGGAATATGTGAAATAAGTGTACGTGTAATACTTTTCACTCGATACTTTCAAAATACGAAGATTATCACTGTCGAGAGTTATTGTAATAAATCTCGAATAATTAAATGGCACTTAGTCAGGCTACAATTAATTACACGAATGCTCTGAAACTATGTGATTGGAACAAGTCTTGAATTTCATTTACGTTCTTGTAATCGTACAATCCTTAATATCAGTCATACTGAGAAACTGAGACGCATCTTTTTTATTTTGAGTCTAATGTTATCCATTTTACGAACATAAGCTTCTGTTTATATAGTCCTATTTTAAGCTAATTACATTACATATATATCAATATGCAGAGTGAACGGAAATTATGTGTATTTTTCGTTCAACAAACAATTAACGAATTTTCTTCAATAAAATCTTGCTATCTCAAGAAATAGAACATGAAAATGTCAGTAACAAATTTTTACAATTCTATATCGTCATACTACGTAAATATATTTTGTTGTCATTGAGAATAAGTTTTGTATAATAGAATTATGACTTTATTATTGGTTTGAAATTGTTTTTGATTTATTTGCAGAATTTCTAAATTCCCTTAAATTTTCATGATTTTCGCGTAGTTTAAAGACTGATATTCCTTTGTAAAATTCATAATGCAAAAATTTCGTGTAAAACAAATCGTTTAAATACTTATCCGATTATTATTTAAATAATTTCCAAATTAAAGGAGTCTTGTTACAATCTAAAAATTCACATATTAAAAAATAAGTTCAATTTATGATCTAAAGTAATTTTAAATTCAAAAATTGTAAATTGGTGGATAAAATTTCAGTAAAATGCAATATTTAACATATTATGCCCCAAGAAGTATGCAATTTTTTTTTTTTTTAAATCATTACTATTTGAATATAAATTGTTAAAAAACATAGGCAAAATTAATTGCAATTCAATTTAAATTTTATAAAAAAATAAAAAACAAATATTTTTCTTTCACCAATCAATTCATTTATATGTAAATTTCACCGGTTTTATTTAATTTCATTTGAAATGTTTATTTTACTTTATTTAAATTAAAAAAAAAAATAAAAAAATAAATAATTTTTTTTTTATTTTTTAATTTTTTCACAATTTTTTCAAATTATTGTGTTTTGTTTTCTGTATTAAAGGCCTCCGAAATGATTTTCTATTTTTGAAATTTTCATGTAGGTTTATACAAATTGTGGGCGCGCAGCTGTTATGGTCACAGTAGATTATAAATATAAAAATTTTGCGGTCAAGAAAAAACTCTTTGAAAAAAAAAAATGTAAGCATATATCTACATTCATACAAAGTTGTACAAATTTATGATTTTGTAGAAGAAAAATATTGATTTATAATTCTCGAAAAGCGAATAAAGAAAAAATGAAATTATTTTCGATTAAAAATTCAAAATTCAAAAATATTTTAATGAAACGTAGCTATAATAAATTTTTGATTTTGAAAATCAAATTAAAAATGCCTTATTAAATTTGTTTATTTTATAAAATTGGAAAAATTATAAATATTTTAAGCTTAGTTTTTGGTAGAATGTGCAAAACTTCGTGGATAATAGAATTGCTCTTTCAAATCAAAGATTATTCGAAGCTCAAATTTTAGCAAATAAAATGCAATTTCCTGGTGTTCTAAATGTTGCAAATCGCGGGTTAGCATTTTAATTGTGAGGAGAAAAATTTTCAGTAGTTTTTCCAATGTTCCTGCTTTGAGTGTGTCTCTAATACAATTTCTCTTCCTAGAATACACGTTTCCATTATTTTTCTGTGAAAATGATTTTACATAGTTTTACGTATAAAATGTATAACAATTAATTTGCCAAATTTGCAATTAACCATGTCCATTTATTAAATTGTATATGATTTTACTAATTAACCTATAATATGTAGTAGAATTTTAAATCAAAATTAATTTAATTTAATTATAAAATTTTTGAAATTTTTATTTTTTTCTCGTTCATTTCTCATTGAGATGACAATCCGTTTTTTTTTTTTTTTTTGTTTGCTTTTTCTTTTTTATTTATTTTGATATTCAATGTTACACAGTATTAATTTTTGAATTTTTTTATGTTTTGTTCCACTTGTTGAAAATATAAATTTATATTTAGAGGTTGGAGAAGAAGCCATTTAAAAATCAAAAAAAAAAATCATTGAATCTTTGACATTATTTTCATATGAATTTCCATGATATTGAAATAAATATCTTAGTCATTCTCTCGTTCACAATATTTACGTTATTAAATACAATTAAATATACATGTATGTGTGCAAATGGTACATATACATTGTCATAAAAATTGAAAATCAATAGTTTTCTCTTTTATATGCTGAAGAACCTATTTTCAGCTGAAGGAGAAAATTAAAAAAAACAAATAAAATAAAAAGTATAAAACAAAATTTTAAAATTTTAAGAAAAATTTTAAGAGAGAGAGAGCGAGTACTTTTAAAATTTTCTCAATCTTCAATTTGGTATGGTTACATGAAAGTGAGTGTTTTAACTTGAGATATTTAAAAATTAAAGAGTATTATGAGAATGAAGATCATTTTTTAATTTAAAGAGAGAAAAAATGAAATTGAGAGATTTTTGATGAGAACTAATAAGAGACGAAATTTTAATAATTTTTCTCATTTTTCGTCTCAATTAAATTTTTATTTTTAAAACTAAAATATTAAATGCATGTTTTGCTTTTTGTTTATTTTTCCACAAAAAGAAAATTCTCGGGAAATTTTATGTTTTTCTTCCATTTTTTTTTTGTGTGTTTGTTGGCAAAAAATTTTGAAAAATTTAGTTTATTTTTTTTTGTAATTATTTTATGTATTTTATATGTAGACTTTATAGAATGTTAAAAAGACGAAATGAGAAAAAAATAATAAAAAAAAAAATTAAAATATTCTCTTTTCCTTATTGGCCTACATGAAAATTTTTTAATGTACGAGTTAGAAATAAAAATTGTTGTAGGGAAATTTAGAATTTATACTTTAAATTCTCAACATTTAGGAAAAAAATTGGACATTTAATATTAAAATATGAAGTTTTCTATGAAGGCAGGCTTTTCATATTAGAAATTGAAAATAATTTCAGGTGCTTTATTAATATAATTTTAAATAAACCATAAGTCGATTGTGAATTACAAAGATATGTTAAGTAAGAAATTTTTCAAAACGCTTATTTCGAACGTTCCGCTTTGTTTGCGGTACTCTTTGTATTTCAATTCCGTGCGCGTATTATCTTGCACGATTGTTGTGGTTAAGTTAGGTTAAGTGCATGGTCGGAGAAGCAGAAAAAAAGAATAAGTGCTTTTTTAGAATGTTTCTATTACAAGAGCCGATTCAGTGATTAAATTAAAAAATTTGCTATAAGTACACCAGTTGTTACTAGAAATTTTAATTTTAAAGCTAAGTAAAATGATTTTTTGGTCAAAAAACTCAAATTTTAAACAAAAATTCAAAAACTAATTTAAGTTTTTTCCAATTAAATGACTTCTTTTCGAACAAACTGGCTTTTATAAATTTTCAAAAACAACTACCATGGAAAATTTTAAATTTATTACTTAGCATATTTTTGCACTTGACCATCGAAATTATTAAAGTTCAAGGAAATACAATGATTGATCAACAAATAATAATAAAAATTATTTTCGGTCACTTTTCGAAAATATTTGAATAAATAAAATCTATATATATGGAATGGAAATTGAACGTAAATAAGTGAAAAAAATTCGCATTTAGATGAATTTCAAAAAAAAAATTTTTGTTACAAGTCTCGTAAATGAAAAATTTTCTATGGAATTTATTAAAATCAAATTAATTTTCAATATTCTTTCATTTTGGCATTAAGAATTTTTTAATTTTTTTTGTATTTTTTTGTGTAAATTAATTTTACATCAACTTCAATTTTTGTTTTTGCTTCAACTTTTTTTTTTTTAAATATTTTCATGAATTTTTCACACATTTCTCACACTTAATTCTCACAAAATCAATCGATCACATTAAATACAAATTTTATAAAATTTTTAAAATATTTTTCAGCAAATTAAGATTTAATTTTTTATTTTAAATGAGAGTATGTACTTAAAATTCCAATTGTATATTTTCAATTACAAATATAATATTAAATATTAATTTATTAAAAATAAAAATTAATTATATTTGATTTTACATTAATTTAATTTTTTTTTAATTCTCGTATTTATTTTAATTGAGATGATAAAACTATTAATTTGAGAAAAAAAGATTAATGAATAATTTTTATATTTTTAAAATATTTTTCATTACTCATCACATCACTCTATATATTTATACGTCATAATTTCACTTATATTTTTTTTTTTTATATTTTAATGTTATACGAAGAATGTGTGATTATAAATCAATATATATACATTTGAATAAATGTTTGTATATATATAAAATTTAAATGTATTTGTTAAAATAATAATTTTTTTTTATTTATTATTTTTAAATATTATATATATATATATATATATATATTATTATTAGGTGACGTTTACATTTTCATAATGGAAAATTTTGTAATTTTGAAATTTTTAATATTTTATATTGTGAATGAAAATTATTTATTAGGATAAAAGGGTTACTGTTTGGTTCCGATGAATTTGAAAATTTAAGAATTTGTGTTCCGGTTTCCTCTTCTATTGTTAATGAAAATTAATTTATTATTTGTTTCGATAAAAGAGTTGCGGTTTGGGTCCGAAATGGATAATTTTTGCTTAATATACACAAAACAAAAAAAAATTAATAGAAAATTTAATTAAAAATTAATTAACACTAGATTGCCAAAGAAAGTCATTTTGACTGCTTTTTAATTTCCATTAGAAAAAAAATTATGTATGCAATGATATAATTTCATAAAATTTTATGAAATTATATCACCCCCCCCCCTCCCTTATTTCTTATATGTCCAAGAAATAAGGGAGGTCCAAGAGCAATCATTTTGACTGCTAGTTAAACTTAAAATAATTATATGACCACTTCGGCTTTGAATATTTTGGTATTGAAATAACATTTATTTCGATGACCGTTACGTAATGGCACGCAAGTATATGATATATACAAAATTTCAGTCTTTTTAGTGTTAAAGTTATTTTTAAAAAAATGTACAATCAAAGAATATTTATTTACATATATTGTTGACACAACAATGGCCAACGAAATTACGTTCACATACTGTTTTCTATACTAATATAAAAATCGTTACCAATATTTTTGAAAAGCCGGCTTATTTTCCAAATAGCTGGTATTGTAAAAATTTCTCGACTCCAGATAAGCGGAATTTTTATATATGTTTTTATATTGTTTTTACCAATGATGATTACTTCCACTTATATTAAATTATAATTTAAGCCAATTAAATCTATTTTTCAAATATTATTTTGTATTCCATGCTTTGTTAAATGGGAGTTATTGTTTGCTTGATTTTACCTTAGCCTGCAGCTGCATCAAACAAGCATATAAAATTTTAAACAACAAAAAAGGTTGCGGGTCGATTATTTTTTTATTTATTTATTCATCTATAAATGAGCCTACTTGCTTCTATAGAATATGATAATTTAATATGATTTCATTAAATATTGCAACATCGGACGGATGTTTGTATATAAGAGCGACACAAAGGATAGGAAATAAGAATAAGAAATAAGAACTAAAACGTGGAAAGGATTAAATCTAATTGTTGGCTTACAAGAATATAAGAATTATATTATTTTAGACTGAATCACATTGAAAACTGTTATACTGAAGTTATAAATGTAAACGTACCCTAATAATACGATTATTAAATTAGATATTATTTGTGTATGTTGAAGTATGTATTTAAAATAATTATGTATGCTATAATGTGACAGAGATAGGCGTAGGTGGTGAAAATATAGGTATTTCGTAAAAAATCTGTTATAATGTTATAAATTTAAATATTAAAAAAAAAGTTTTTTATTATTTTTGGCCAAAATATATTGGGAAAGTAAAAAAAAAATATTTTTCTTATTTCTTTAACTTTTAATTTTTATACTAAAAAAAAAAAAAATTTTTTTTTTTTCAAACTATTTACTCATTGATTTTTTGTATAATTTTTATTATAACATTTTAATATTTGCGATTTTTAGAACAAAAAAAAAATTAATTAGAAATTATAAAAATTTTCACTTTTTTTTTATACATAAGTAGAGAAAAATTTCACTTTTCATTAAATGTCGGATCGCGATTCTAAAAAAAAAACTTAAAAAAAAAAAAATTATTTTTTTGTTTTCCGTCTGTCTATTTTAAGAATTAAAAAAAAAAAAAATTTGTAAGAAAATTATAGAATTTTTTTTTATTTTTTTTGTGTATTTTATGGGTAAAAGTGTAAAAAAAAAATTAATTTTTATTTAGTTTTTATACGGTAAAATGTTGCGCACATCTATTCCGACGCTCTGAAGAAAACTAAAGAAATCGGCTTTCTATTTTATCGGCTATGTTATGAGGAAAATATGATTTTGCTTGTACATGGTGCGGTGGTGCGCTGAGAGAAGGAAAAATTCGGAAAATTATTTTCATTTTTATATTAAAAATAAAAAAAAATTTTTTTTGTGCTTTTTTTTTTTTTTTATAAATTTTATAATTTTTTATTAAAAAAAATTTTTTTTTGTTTTTTTTTTTCCTAATTTTTTTTTTTTTTTTTAAATTTTAATTTTAGACTCTTTTTAAGTGAATGAAACCTCATTTTAATGGAAGAGTTCATTTTTTTATATCGACTGCATTACATTCAATAAGCGAGGTTATGTGATGCCATCAAATTTCGGATATCGAGTTTTTGGTGGGAACGCACTTCTTAGAGTAACTAAACTATTTTTAGAGATAGGTCGGTCTGTCTGATTTTAATGAAATTTTATGTATTTTGCCTATGTTACTGACTGATCAACTTTTAGGATATATATTTGGCCTCGAAAACGGTCCTTGTTTGCGGTTCGAAAAAGAGAAATAATCAACTAATTTTCTTGAAATTTAATACTTAAATTCGAGGTGTTAAAAGAATAAACTAGGGTCGATTTTACAATTTTTACCATATCTACGGAACTAATTCATGAAATTTTCGAAATATGATATTTGAGTTTTAGTTGTTAACGAAATTAAATGACGAGCTTTTCAGGAAATTCTGATGATAAAAAGCGAAACTCTACTAAGAACCAAATTTACATTTTTCTAAATATTGTGACTAAAAACTTACTAAATTCCTAAAAAATGAAATGATGCGTTCAAAAACTCATTTTCATAATCTTCGGTAACACTTCCGCTAAACTAGACAGTCTACATTACGGTCGGTTATGTGCTGATCACATCAGGTTTTTGGGAAATTTTTTTAATTTTTTAGCATTTAAACTTTTTTTTTTAAGAAAATTTTAAATATTTTTAATTCTAAATTTATGTATTTGTGTAAATTTCATCATTTTTATTTTAATATTTTTAATTCATATTTATTGTTTTTTTTTAGCAAATAAATAAAAATTTATTGTGAATATTGAAAAAAAATTATTTGTGAGTTTTAACAATGAATGAAAAATTTATTTGGTTATTGAAGAAGGAAGGGGAGAGGATCATTGCATTGTGAATTGTTAAATTAAAGATGCAATAACGAAAGTTGAAAATCAAGAGAGAGAAAATGGTTATGATAGAGGCGTACATTTTTGTGCATTTTGCCACCGAAAATTATCTATTCGGTTAAAAACTCAAGATGGAATAGAGTATCTATACAAAATGTCCATAAATAATTTAATCTACTATAGTAATAATCACAAAATAAAGGTTTCAGATTTAGATAATTTTCACCGTATACTGGGCGCAATACGGACCTGTTTACAAACATTTTTGAAAAATTAATTATATAGAGACGTTTCCGTATTCATTGCATAAATTTATAATAATTCATGGAATTTTTGGAATTAATGTTCCTTAATTGTGCTTTCTATGCCTAATTTACTGTCATATCGTTTAGTGTTTTTAAAAACTAATTACATATTAAATCATTACATTTCTCTATGATTATAATTTTATTTTGAATAATAACAATCTTTATTTTGAACTCTTCTTAATACGTTTTCATAGTTCATCATTAAATTTAGATTTAAAAGAACATTTTGATTCTCAACAGTCTTTTAGATATACAATTATAATTACTTTTTCTATCAAATTTCTAATTTCAAAATGCTTTAACGTGACATTTTAGAAAAAGGAGAACAAAATGTGACTGACAAAGAAAGGAATATTATTTTTGAGCACGTGCCAGACAAATTGACAAATGCATATACATACGTACGAGTAACAGAATATTCAGAATTTTTTCCTTTTATAACAAGTCACACAATATTTATTTCAAAATACGTGCTTGTTAAGAAAAAAATATTATTATTGATTAAATTATTTTACGTGCGTTCATTTATTAAAAATTAATAATTAAAATGTTTTTCTTGATTAAAGGCAATTTGATACAAAATTGTTCACTTTTATTTTCTAAATTTCATTTTATGAATTTAATGGGTCTGGGTATGTGTAAGTGTAATACGATCATAATAATTTTAACTATTACTATTAAAAAATGTCGAATAATGTTTTCATTTAAAAATCGAACACCTTTTAATTTTACATGTCCCCCATACAAACTAACATTGTTAAGTCTTATATCGTTTGTTTGTGTATGTATAGTAGACTTCATCGGTGTGGTGTCGATCGTTCCCTTAATAATAAAGTTAAAAAAATATTCTCACAATTTTTATTTGCTTTTCTGTAAAGAAAAATGTTTTTTAAATTTTGTTCACATAAAATATAATGTTTGCCTTTAATTTTAAAGGCTCATAGATATAAACTAATAAATATGACTACCTGTCAAAATTAATTGTTATTTTGACCTAAATTTTGTCTTTCCTTTTTAGTGAGAAACGAATGAAATATAGCCACCACCGTTAGATATTAATTCGAGAATTATTTTAATAGAAAATAATTTTTCTCTCTCTTCTCTCTCATTTAAATTTTAACCCTATTGCTGCCAAATATAAAATGCAAGTATTTTTGTGAAACGATTTATCTTAAAATATCTCTTTAATCATTACTAATATGTTGAATGAATATACGTGATTGACAATTCTTTCAGAAACATATAACATTTTAGTTTTCTCATTCAATTTCTTGAATTTCACGACAAATCAAATTATGTAAAATTAAAAATTATGTAAGTTTTTTAAATAAATGGACTGTCTTTAAGGAGTCGCTCTACAAGATTTCAATATCTCCGGGTATCGACACGGTTATCCATTTTCGCCTGATGCAGTCGATGTCTTCTTGTCTTTTGCTCGAAAAGTACTCAAATTCCTCGTTAATAAATTTTGTGCCTCATTTATTTGGTTTCCAATTGTTGAAAATTATGTGAAAAACTTTATTTAACAAAATTTTTCCTATAAAATCAGAGAGAGAAAGAGAGAAAGAGAGAGAGACTGGAATTTATAGGAGAAATGTTGTGAAATGAAATGTAAATTTTTGAATAACGTAAATCACTTACGAGTAACGAGCTTATCATTCATTCTTATTTCAACCTTGAGAAAATAATTAAAATTCCATTTGACAAAAACAAATTTTTTAATTTTTTTTTCAATTTTTATTCAATTAGAATGTTACAATTTATTTTAATCTAAGATTTTGTCAAAATTTTTATTTCTTATATATTATTCTTATCCTTTAAGAAATTTTAATTTCATCTTCACAATTACATATCACTACTCTTCAATATATACGTAGATCGGTATGTAGTAGGGGTAATTAAAATTTTATAATTTTGACCCTCACTCTCAAAAAACGAGAGAAAATATATTCGTTTGGCTGAAAAATCCTCATAGTTTGTGTATGTGTGTGCATTTTTTTTTATTAAATTTTATTTAGAAATTTCTAAAAAGAAATTTTTTTTTTTATAAAAAAAAAATTGTGTTTTTATGCTTTAAATAAAATAAAAATTGTTTTTATATTTCAAAATATAAACAGAATTTTAAAATTGAAAAAGAAGAAACTATAGGATTCATTTGCTATAGTCAAGCTGAATAAAGCAAATTTCAAAATTAAGTGTGTGTTCTTAAGGAAAAAGCTAGTCGTATTAGTGTCGCTGAATTTTTTTTTAATAAGTGCTTAATAAAAGTAATAAGTAAGCTGTCAAAATGCAAGCATTATGCAAGCCTGCCTCAACTATTCTTTTAAGAAAATATGCTGCAATAGTTATTTTTGTTCCTGGTTATTGTTAAATTACATTCATAATTTATTTTATTAGAAATTTTCATTCAAGTTTGTTATAATTTAGTAAAACACGATCTAGTATTAACATACAACGAACAAATTATTTTTATTAAACAAAATTTATAATAATGAAAAAAATACATAAAAAAAAATGCAATGAGTTTATAAATTCTTACCTTCACTGTCATAACTTTCATCAGTCTCTTCTTCACTAACTTCTTCATAAATCCATTCTTCATCACCCGTGTCATATATTTCACTATTTTCATTATTTGAGTTGATTTCTCCTAATTTATTACTAACGATATCATTTGATTTATTGTCATTTTCCTCATTGTTGTTTTCATCGTTTATATTTTCACCCCACCACGCAGTTTCACCACTCCAATTTCTTTTAACATATTTAATTGTTTTTTCATTACTATTATTGTTTTCATCTTGATTTAAAGATATCGATGATGTTGTTGCTAAATCTGCTTTTTCAGAATTTACAGAACACACTTTTGTCTCATTCTCTGAAATTTTATTTATTTCAGTTGGTTTCGTTTCATTTGTTGACACGTCAATATTACTATTTTCTTCTGTTTCATTATTTTCATCTAACCACCATGGTGCTTCTTCTGTCCAATTTCTTCGAATTGGATTAATTTTAGCTTTGTTTTCTAAATTTTCGTCAATATTATTTTCATCAATATGAGTTGTGCTATTTTCATCTTTATTGTCTTTTTTATTTTCATTATCAGTTCCATTTATACCATTATTGTCATTTTGATTTGCTTCATTGCTATCACTTTCATTTACGTCATCATTAGTTTTGCTTTCATTATTTTCTTCATCATCTAACCACCATGCCCCTTCTTCAGTCCAATTTCGTCTAACTGGGTATAATTTCTTCTCTTGAACATATGAAATTTCCTCCGTATCATTTTTCTGTTCGCTTTCATTGCTGCCATTTGTATCAATTACGTTTTCTAAATTGTTTTCGACCTTATTTGTGTTATTTTCCGTTTCGTCAGTTAACCACCACGCGCTTTCTTCAGTTGCATTTCTTCGTAACGGGACAACTTTTATTTCATCTTCAGTATTGTCTTTCTGATGTTCTGTACTTAAGCTATTATTTGCCTTTAATGTTATTGTTACTGTTTCATCCTCGCTATCATTCTTTTCTTCCTTTTCAAGATCATTTGTACCATTTTCAGTTTTTTCAGTTTCTTCTGCTAACCACCACGGTTCAGCTTCGGTCCAATTCCTCCTTATTGGAATTGTAGAAACTGGAGTGTCATCATCTTTATTTGCTTCTTCAACGTTTTCTTTTTTCTCCACTTCTTCAGTTATTTTTGTTTCTTCATCGGTTTTACCTGATTGGCTTTCACTGTTCTCGTTTATCTCATTATTTTCTTCACCAGTAAACCACCATGGTTCCTCATCTTCGACCCAATTTCGTCGTTTAGGTTTAGTTGATGAATTGTCACTAACTTCTTCTGTGATATCAGTTTTCTGTTCTTCATCTTTTGACATATCTTGAATTTCACATTCATTCTGATTTTGTGTACTTTCTTCTTGAGTTTCGTAGAAATCCCAATCAAAACCTTCATCGTCCAGTGTGCTTTTTGGTTTTGAAACCGACCTATAATTACTATTGGAGGTGATTGTATCATATTCGTTATATGTATTATCTTCATCATCTTCACGTAAAGTTGTTACTTCACTCTCTTCAGATTTTATGGCCATATTTAATTTTTTATCCATTTCGACAACGCTACTAACTTTTGAATTTTCAATTTCAAAATGCCAGAATTCCTCATCATCATTATCATTGTCGGTGGAAATTGTTTCAATATCAGTTGTCCCATAATTGTCGGTTTGTTTTTCGAAATTGGCTTCTGATTCAAATGTTATTATTGGTTTTGGTGTATTTGATGATATGCCGGTATCAGTTTCAGTTTCACTGTCTTTTGTTTCTTCGATAGCTGACCAATCGAAACCGGGATCTTCTAGATCTTTTTTTGACTTTTTTGGACTATCTCTTTTATCTTCTTCCTCTACAAAACTATTTACGCTATTATTTGTTATTGGCGATATCGCTTTAATTTTCGCCGGAGTAGGCGTAGCTGTATTTCGTGTTTGCACTTCTGGACTTGTTGTTGGTTGCTCAATTTTAAAATGATAAAACTCTTCATCTTCATTATTATCATCACTTGATGTTGTCATATAGTTATCATTATTAGTATTATTAAGTTTTCTTCTCTTTTGTGGTTCTGTATCATGTTTATCATTTGTTTTGGTTTTGCTTTGCGATCTATTATGTGATATTGTTGAATTTGTGGGTGTTGTTGAGCTTCTTGTTCGGTTGTTAGGCATTTTAGATAAAATATTTTCAGTATTGTCCTGTGTTGCTCCTTCATTATTTTTATTTGTCGGACTATTATGTTCAATTTTAAAATGCCAATATTCATCATCGTCATCATCATCGTCGTCGTCGTCGTCGTCATCACCGTCATCTTCATCATTTTCACTTTCACTTGTTTCATTTAAATGATTACCATTTGTCAATGGCTGATTATCATTATTTTCTGTTTTCTTATTATCATTGTTATGATCTACTTTAATGTTACGCCAATCGAATGATACATTTTCTAAAATTGATTTTAATTCACTAACTAAATCTTCTTGTGAATTTGTTAATTTTTCTGTTTCGCTGTCATGTTTTTTCTTTTGAATTTTACTGCTTGATTCTTTACTATTGCTAGGTTCATCTTCATCTGATGATGATAGTGATGATTGAGATGATGATAAAGATGATGACTCATACTCTTGTGTATGTTCATTATATTTTTTAGATTTATGTTTTCGAACTCTTCGTCTAGGATTTTTATTGTCATTGGTCGTAACAATATTATTATTATATTGTGGATCTTCTTCAAAACTGTTTTCGTTTTCTTTTTCTGTGTTATGATTCGAATTCCAATGTAATCTTGTTGTTGTTGTTGGCTGATAATTATTTCGATGATTATCATTGTAATCCGTATTATACCGATCTACAATATCTAAATCGTTATTACTGTTATTTTGTTGTATAACATTTTTATACAGCTCGTTTATTGTTTTAAACAAATCTTCTTCGTCGTTTTCATTGCCATTCGGCTTCGATGGTGACACCATTTTTGAATGATCTGCTTGTATTCTTGCTTTATTATTATTTAAATTAATTTCTTTACTTGAATTTTCTAGTTTAGCGTCCGGTGATTTTCTAATGTCTGAAAAGAGAAGAAAAAAAGAAATAATTTTAAATAAAAAATCTTAAATTCTTTTCGAAAAATTTATAGAAAAAATTTCAATATCAAAACAAAAATATTTTTTTATTTTTTATTTTGTATGTTTGTATTTTATTCTTGTTATAATTTTTCCTTTTATATTTTAATGAAAAGATAATTAATTATATAATTATTCTACATTTTTTTTTAAGTAGAAATAAAAAATTTCATAAAACTGGAATCTATTCAAGGTAAAACACTTGCAAATCTCGTTATTTTATTAAAACAAACCATTAAAATATTAGAAAAAGAAGAGAAAAACCGCAACAAAAAAATTAAAATTGAAATATTTTCACCGTCCTATTTATAAATTGCGCCTAAGTTTGTATAGTGGTGAGAAAAAATCTTTGAAATTTTTCTCGCCGAACTGCTGTTATGTCAGATTTGTTTTTGTGATTTTTCATTTCATTTGGGATGGTTTGTGTTTTTGTTTTGGCTTTTGATTTTTTTATGGTGGTCGGAAGAGAGAGAACTAAATTATACTTCTCCTCAGCTAATTTGTTTTTTTTTTTTTTAAAGTGATGTCATTTTGTGATGAAAAATTAATTTCTTTTTGTTTTGATTGTTTTGTCATTGTTTTTGTTCTTTTCCAATATGTCTGAAGCGTTGTTTTTTGTTTTGAAATTGCAAAAATCGCATTTAAATTTCAATGTGCATGCAAAAATGTTAATAAATTTTAATTCTTGTTATTTTTGTTTGCAGTGTTTCGGGAAGACGACGTTTATCGGAATAAATGAGGTAAGATTTTGCCAAATATGCATTGAGTAATTGGAAAACAAAAATTTTAAAAAATTTGCTTTCACTTCTTAATTTAAATGAAATTATAAGTGATAAATTTACAGGCTTGAAGTGGAAACTTTTATTTAAAAACATTATTTTCGTATTAATTGAAGGGAAATAGCCAAGAATCGAATCGAATTGCCATGCTCTGAAAAAAGTGCTATATTTATTAAGTGCTATACCTGCTAAATGCTGGTATTTTGCAGAGCATAGCTTAGCTTTAAAATAAATTTATGATTGAAATTTTCCTTATTTATTCCTTGTTTTCATTAACAGAGAAAACGCTTTATTTGCGTTTTGTATTGAAAATAATACATCTGAATACACAGATATGTTTAGGTATGTGTAGATATAGTAAATAATTTAAAAACAAGAGCAATCATAAAAAATTTTTAGGCATACCTACATAATTTCTAATATTAAAATTGCGGTAAAGTTTTGTGCAAGAAAAATAAAATTTAAGATTCTCCTAAATTTATGCAATTTTTTTCGTTTATTGTAATCTTATAGAAATTTTCAATATCTGTTAGTGTACATATATACTTAGGTACACAATATTAGTTGCAAAAAAATATGATGTTATATATTAAGAAAATATAAAGAAAATAAGAAAATAAGTATGTTTATGTTTCTCATATTATTTTTTCAAAAACTTGAACTCATATAAACATTTAGCTAGGCTATTCTTTGTTTTAAAAATCATTTAGCTGTTCTCATTTGAATTTTTACTTGTTTCAGTTGAAGTAGAGCGAAATTAATTAATTATAAGCGTGTAATACATAAACGTATTTGTGTATTTATGCACACATATACAAAATTTGAGTAAAAGAAAAAAATTTTATTTTCGACGAAAATCTAAAATAACATTTTCCGATATAAAATGTGCATATTCAAGTATAAAAGGGTACTATGAAGTGATCTTATTGTGTTTATGGAAAGAGATGAGAAGAGATTTTTCTCTTTTTTGATTCTCTTAATTCTCCTCTCCTTGTGGCATTATTGAAATATTTTTTGTCACTAATAGGGTACATGAATTAATGTTTTAATCTGCGAAATTTAGTGAAAATTCATTTGGGAAAAAAAAGAGCATAAAATTATAAAAGTCATGGAAACTTTTTCCGTAATTGGAAAAAATAGAAAAAAGTAAGAAAAAGTGAGATGAATAATTAAAGAAAATAATTAAATCAGAGATACTACAACAAAATTTTAGACCAACAGTTCTAGTTAAGAATAAAAAATTTAAAAAAATAATGGAAGGGAGAAAGGTTATAGTTTAAATTTGCCTTATTTCTTCATTAAAAATCTAGATATTAATGGAATAAGACTTGTAACCTGCCAAAGCTATGCTATATTAGTATAGTTAAGGTTAAAATTCCAACTTTTTATATTAATATTCTCGAGGAATTATCCTATTCTCACATGTTATAGGAAACATGTTTGATTCACATTAACTTCAATTCTGGCCCGGAACAATAACAAACAATTAATTATGGGCAATTACGGACCAGAAGCCTGTAAACGTGGTTATATAAAAAAAAAATTGGTGATGGTTGTGCCACATATTACGGAGGCCCAATAATAGGATAGCCAAACTGGTAGTAGATTGGAAAATATAGAGAAATTAACGATATTTAAGGAGGCCAAATTTAATGGGAAATTATATGAATCACTGAAAGTAATGTTAAGAACATAAATGCAAAAGTACCAACACTTTTGTACAATTTCATAACGCACTACATAATATGTAGCAGCACTAGTATAAAGAAAAAAGAGAATCGAATAAATATTAAAATTTATTCAAAAATATTTTTTTTCTCTTTCTTTTTTTCTTCTTTCTTAGTACTCTAAATTTTTTTTAAACATGTGATGTCATGAATCATTTCATTATGTATTTTGTGACTGAGTGAATTTCAGTTGAGAATTATATAGACTAAGTACTTCGATTTTATTGAGAAAATATTTTTATTTTTTTTGAGAGGAAGGGAAGGGGGAAGGGAGGGATTTTCTCTTCAGAAAAGAGATAAAAAAATATTTTTAAAGATGAAAACTTAGAGAAAGTAAATAACGGGTATACACATTGTTGTTTAGCATAATTTTTAATTTGGTATTGCTGTTTGCAAGAATATGTGGTGTACAGTACTGCATTAAAGGCCATATTTTGAGTAATGGCACAGATATTTTTACTTTTAAGAATTTTATTTTAAATTAAAATTCAATTAAAAAATTTCAGTTCTCAATTTTGTTTCAGAAAAGCAAAGCAGTTATTTTAAAGTTTAAATTCTACTTAACACTGTGAAGCAGTTTCTAATAATAATTTAGTTTAGAGTCATAGATTTTTACTACAAGTTAATTAAGTTATAAAAATTTTATCGAATAAATTTAAAATTTGGAATAATTTTACATAATTATGTCTGATTTTCCTAAATTTTTCCAAAAACTGAATTTAATATCATCCTTTTGTAGCATTATTCCTCTATAAGCGCTATATCGTTCTTAAAATATTCAATTAAAACTAAATAAAATAAAAAAATCTATTGAATTTTTTATATTTCATAAATTTTAATAAAGTAAAAATAATAATAAAATTTTTTCACTATGATAAATCTAAAATTTATTGTATATTATGCACATTTATTTTTATAAGTCAACAAGTTGATTGATGCTTTTTGAATGAATTCACTTACTTAAATCCTTTGAGTCAATTTTGATTTTCATTCTTCATGCCCTTATACATATTTTATCTATTTATATTTTTTTATATTATTTTTGTGTGACTCGATTGAATTTTAAAGACGATTATAAAAAGATTGCAGAATATTTAAAATGTTAATACGGATTCCGTGAAATTTTAAAATGATAAAATTTTTATTCCATTTTAATTTTCTTTCACAGATTTTGGAACTTTTTATATTGAATTTAATAATGAATTATTAAAAAAAAATGAGAAATATGCTGTGGCAGAGGTTTCTCTCTGAGAATATTTAATTATCAGAAGCTTAAAGATGAAATTAATAGTATTTGTAAAGAACTGAAAATATTTTTTTTTTAAATAGCTGTAGTTTGATTTTTTTTTTCATTTTCTCGATTAACTTAAAAAATTTATTATATTGATTTATTTTTTTTATTTTGTTCAATTAATTTTTTGTTATTGTTATTAATTATAAAGAATGGTGTTGAGAGTTTATACATTTTGTATAAAATGTAAACATTCTTTCGAGTGTCAAAGTTATTTAACAAAATTGAATCAAAGAATTTTGTTTTTTTGTTAAAAAACTTATGAATTTCAGAAAGTCGCCGACGTGTTGCTATCATAGCACTACAGTGTATTGAAAACAACACAGAGAAAATCATAATTTTCCTGTTTATCATATTAAAGAAGCAAAAAGTTATTGCAAAAGAAGAAGAATATTGTTGGCTTGTTGAATACAAAGTTACAACTGTGTCTTTGTTGTTTCTCTTAAATTATTTATATTATCTTATAATATTGGTAGATCAGATGTGCTGCAGTTTCTGAAAATCAGATAGCTCTTTGTTTTTTGATGTTAATATTATTGTAAAATATTATTTCACTCAATAGATATTTGAAATTTTTAACATTTCCGAAATTTTTATCATTTTAACGGGTGCCCTGAGAACATGCCCAACGACCTCGATGGAGGCTCTCCTGGGCTTGGCCCCGCTTCATATTCACCTAAAGGGGGATGCTATGAAATGGGCACTGCGGACAAGGCAATACAGAAAGCCAAGGCTGGGTGATCTTAGAGGCCATCTAAGCATCATTGCGGAGATTGGTGGCCTACATGACATGGGGGTGCCCTTGTTCTGAGGAAGAGGAATATAGTGAGGCTATACGTTGTGGATCTAGCTGAAAGGCGGATCTGGGATGGGGAGGGTCGACAACTTGTCCCTGGGGCCGTGGTCTTCTATACGGATGGATCCAAAACCAATGAAGGGGTGGGCGTGTATGTGTATGGTGAGGGTGTAAGCATATCAAGGGCTCTCGGACGCTGCCCATCGATATTTCAGGCTGAGACATATGCCATAGAGTTGTGTGGTCTGGAATGTATCAGAAGGAACATGAGAAGGAGCAACTGACAACTGTCTTGCGTGTCCTCAGTGAATGGGAGGAGCGGGCCAGAGTTGAACACTGGGATAGCTGCCTG